CGCACTAAATGCTCAATACATGTTTTTTAAGATGACCAGAGAAGGTAAAAACATTCTGGAAAAAACAAGCTACTACATAAAATATAAAATGCTTTATTTGTAATCCTCACTTAAGGATATGTTTTCATTGATTTTTAGAGGAAAGGAGAGAAACATGGATAGGTTGCCTCCCATGCAACCTGACCATGTTTGAACCCACAACCTTGTGAGGTATGCTCCTGGACCAGGAATCAAACCCACAATCTTTTGGCATACAAGATGATGCTCCAACTTTTGAGCTGCCCGCAGGGCTAAAATGCTTTTATTAATGAAACCTTCCTGCTTCAACTGGGCAATTTCTCTTAGAAATCATAGCAATATTACATTGATTACTCTAACAGCCTATATCACGTACATAACAACCGCCTGCCTTTTCATTAAGCAAGAAAGACCGGGATGCAGACTGCTTTTTATCATGTTTCAAGGGAAGACAGTTCATTCACTGTTCACATCCCTTCTTCAGGCATCAGGGTGATAGTCTTCATTCGTATAAATTTAATCTGTTTCCCCTGGTAAAGTGAAGCTTAAAAAAGACAATCTGCTACTGTGGTCACAATATAGGATATTAATGCCATTCTGCTATCAGAGCCATGGCCAAGGCTGACCAGACGGCCCGGAGGCTGGCTTGGCGAAGCTGCTGAGGTTCCGGGAAGGCTGCAGGTCAGCAGCAGGAGAGCACACTGCGTTAGACTGCAAGCCGAGAACTGTCCCCGGGCTCCTTCTGCCACAAAACTGAAACTTAATGATTTATTGGATTCGTTGTGACTCTCAGTTAAGCGAGACAGAAATCGGTTTGATGTCCAATGTTAGAGGTTCCAAAGGTTTGTACAACTGACACATCAGAGAAGAAGGTCCCAGCTGTTTTCTTTAATCCATTTCCACTCTTTCCACTAAGAAGGCTAAATGAATCCTGCCACCACCAGGTCAGCGCTAACTACAGCACCCAAACCACAGGCAGCGATGTCTCTTTATGAATGACCTTTGCCTCACTTTCCTTAGTTCAAAAAACACCACGAAGGGCCTGGCTGGCATGGCTCAGTGGTTGAGCGTCAACCTATAAGCCCTCCAGAGGTCCTGGTTCGGTTCCCGGTCAGGGCACATGCCCGGGTTGCTGGCCTGATGCCCAGTCTGTGGTGAGCAGGAGGCAGCCAATCGATGATTCTCTCTCATCGCTGATGTTTCTATCTCCCTCTCCCTTCCTCTCTGAGATAAAAATATATATATATATATATACTTAAAGAAAAAAAAAACCCTCTCATATTTCTACAGTAAATTTATAAAAAAAACAAAACACAAAACAAAACACTGCAAAGGGAAAAGGTGCACAAAGTGGGTCATGTTCTTGCTCAGCAGATTGAGCAGAGCAATGGCCCCACCTGCTGATTCTAGACAAACCGGCAGGAAGTTAAGGTACGTGGCAAGTTAGGAACCCTGCCTGAGTGCCTTCTCAATGCCCAAGTGACTCACAGCACTGCTGAGAAAAGCCTGTTGTCCTTAGGCACAGAATGATATGTGTGGCTTCTAAATATTTCCTCTATGGTTCCATGTCTTCTTTCTTGCTAATTTATTTTTGGTTTTAAATTAGCTGTACAGCTCCAGAAGCAACTAGAGGTGCAATGGTTTTATAACGGATCAAGTGCTGCGAGCCTTCCTCCAAGTCAATCACATAGTCCCTGGGGGAAAAAAATGTGCAGAGCTCAGTTGGTCGTCTATCGGAAGAAATATTTCTTACTGTCAAAGTCACACGCATCACTCACCTCTGCTCATCTGTTTCTGGTTCTACCAGGATGTTTTCTTGTCTTTCTTTCACTCTCAGAAATACATATGAATCCAGATCCGGTTTGGGAACTGCCACAAAAGCAATAATGTAATCAGAAAATGCTCAGCTAACACCACCAATATGGAAAAAGTTGCTGGGATTTAATTGTTCTGAGCACTAAAGGACCCGTGATGTAAAAGCATGTTGGGAGTAGAATGGTTTGAGAGATCTGGCTTCTAGAAACAGCACACTTCCCACCCAGGTTCCACAGAGCAACCATTCATTCAGCAAATGTGCAAGACTTCAGGCGTGCCGGGAATTCTGCTATGCCTCGGGGAGGACACGGGCAGCTGGAACACGCGGTCTCTGGACAAGGTGATAAGAGCAGCATTGATGAAGCCACACATGAGTGGCACACTTCCCCAACGATGTGGGGAGAAATAAGTCGATGTGTGTTTAAAGGAAAGAGCAGGACTTAAAGAGGAAGCATGATCCTGGTAGGCAATGGTAAAGGCCACGACAGAAATAGGCATGGCCTTCTGGGGACACACGAACACACACACACACAGAGTGTACAAATCTGACTAGAAAATATTCCTAATATAAAGGAGTAGGAGGAGAGAGTACAGTAAGTCCTCACTTAATGTCATTGATAGGTTCTGCGATTAAGTGAAATAACATGAATATAAATAATTAAGTTCCTATGGCATTTCATCAATGTTATAATGAAGGGACATTGAAATGTTATTAGAGGTCCTGCTATCTTGGAAACACTGGGATAAAAAGCGATCGTCTTGAATGTTAGTGAACGCGGTCCCTCACTGGTTGATTACAGGTGAAGAAGCTGTGCCATCCCTCCTCTTCAACCGCCAACCAATACCTCAAATGCCCCAAGCTGGCTGCTCGACAGCTCATTTTCTAGCGCTCCATTTGTACCTGGAGACCCCACCAACTGCAGGGCCCAGAACCTACTGACTCTCAGTTCTTAAGTCAGGTTCCACACTACCCTGACTCCCTCATATACAGGAGGGGGTTCAGGAAAACTGGCTCCAAAGGTCTAAGGATGGTGCCCTGACTGCTCCAGGGTTCTGGGCCTGCCAAACAGACTCCAACTTCAGGGTCAGATGACCCCACTAGGAAGCAACTGATTCTAGGAAACCCAGCTGATTTCAACATGCCTTCCCCCATCCTGCCATCGGAGTCTACAGTGCTCCAGAGGCCTGAGGGGGACTCAGCATCTGGGCTAACAAAGCAAGACTCCAATTTCACCAGGACAGGCTGTCCCCAGCTTCCAATTCCAAGACTGGCTCTAGTCCTATAAGGAATCCAGGACAGAGACATGTGTTTTAGGAGGTATCTGCCAGCATCGAATAGAAGTTCTAGGACAACGGCTTACGTTCAGGTCCAGGAATTCAGATGCATGCCCATCAGTAGTCCTACGGCTTTAATCAACTGGTTGCCATAGCAATGGGTAATGATTAGGGATGTGGTCCTTGCTGCATTCCTGTTCTTCTAAGGTGCAGACAAAAGCAGCTGAACTGGACATGGTTTGGGCCTTCTGTTCCCTCAGTTAGGCTCACCAAAACGATCGATTCAGAGTTCTAAAATCTGGTATGGGTTTGGTTTGGTCCTGATGTGACAGGCTGCACTGTGCCCCCACCGAATTCATATGGTGAAGCCCTAACCCCAGTACTTGAGAATGGAAATGTGTTTGGTACAGGGCCTTTAAAGAGGCATTTAAGTTGAAATGAGGCCGTTAGGGTGGGGCCTAATCTAATCTGACTGGTGTTCTTATAAGAAGGGTAAGAGACACTCAGGGGTGGGAGGAGGTGCAACGAGGGGCAGTCATGTGAAGAGGCTGAGAGAGAATGGCCAACTGCAAACCAAGGACTGAGGCCTCGGAGGAAACCAACCCTGCCAGCACCTTGATCATGGACTTCTGTCCTCTAGATCTGTAAGAAAATAAATGTCTGCTGTTTGAGACCCCCAGTTTGTGGTAGGCTGTCATCATAGCCTGAGCTGACTAATACATCTGGGGAACCATGTCTCGATGCATTCTGTCCTGCTCTTCCACCTGCCACAGAGGTCATGTGGCCCAGCACAGGTTGGTGGGAGATAGGCTCAATTGTACTTGAACTTGTGGCCTCAGAACACTAAGCTTAGTTTGTGAACAGGTGGATTCCTGTTCCTGGAGCACTGCTGGATTTGGTTGGGCAATTTTGTCTGACAAGGTCCTGCTCAGATACGGCAAACTGTGAAAGACAGATGTGGACTTTAACCTATATGCTAGGGGACTCCTGTTAGTTGATCCAAGGTTAGGAGTTACTACCATAAGTCCCCCCCCTCAGCAGAATTTTAAGGGGATTCTGAAAAGAGGGCAAGAGGTGGAGGTATTGGCCATCTTTCACTTCCCCCAGCGCCTCTTTCCCTCCCACCTTTCCATAATGAGAGAAACTCTTCACGAAAAGATTAGGAACCTTTACTGTGGGTAAGAAGGAATCACTGGCCAAGACCGGTTTGGCTCAATGGATAGAGTGTCGGCTTGGGGACTGAAAGGTCCCGGGTTCGATTCTGGTCAAGAGCATGTACATTGGTTGCGGGCACATCCCCAGTAGGGGGTGTGCAGGAGGCAGCTGATTGATGATTCTCTCTCATCGATGTTTCTAACTCTCTATCCCTCTCTCTTCCTCTCTGTAAAAAAAATCAATAAAATATATTAAAAAAAAAAAAAAAAAGAAGGAATCACTGAAGGTTTCCTTAGCCTCCCGTTTAAATCCTCCTTGGAAGCTGAACAGTCCTGCAGTCTGGCATCTGTGAGGAAGAGACTGCCAGCTCTGTGAGAGCAGAGACCCTGTATCGTCAGTGCCCAGAAGGGCCAGCACAGTGCAGGTGCCCACGAGACCACTGGATGACCACTGGAGGACGAGTGACTGAATGTGTGAGCGAGTCTACATCTATAAAGGCAGCCAGAAGAATTTCAACCCAACCTTGAAGAACACATGGCTACTCTTACACCTGCTTTAGATGAAATTCTGTTTTGAACTCAAGACCCTTCTTCTCTTTTCTTTCTTGCTTATCTACATACTTATTTTCATGTTTGAGAGAAAAAGATTAAAGGCAAAGATCTTATTCTCAAACACCTGAAGATCCCGGGCATGTAAATGATGGCCCCAACGGATGACTGAAAAGAGAATGTTCTTACCTGACCTCAAGAGGTCCACTTTCTGTAAGTTAGGAGGCATATGCTTTAAGGCTACATTCCTTAGATAGGTCTCTGTGTTTGCCATGTACCTGAAATACATAAATTAAAATCACTATGACAACCCAACTGGTAGGAGCCAACCCATTTATTAGACAATGGCTCTGAGATAGGTTTTGTGGACACAACCACCAAAACTCATGCTCACAGGCCAGGGGAAGAAAGACAGTTGCCACACTCACTGCTCACTCACTCTTTGGCAAAGGCAAACTCTTCTGGAGAAAGGCTGGAAGGCTCCTCCTCATGCCGTGTTTTCTCCTTTTCAAGGACATGAGGAAAAAACTTCTCTATCTGTGAGGATAAATGGAAATCATCATGAAACATCTGTCAAAACTCAAGTGCCAAACTAGTTTTCTTTTAAAATATGTATTTTTTCTATTGATTTCAGAGAGGAAGAAAGAGGGAAAGGGAGAGAAACATCAATGATGAGAGACAATCATTGATTGACTTCCTCCTGCACGGCCCACACCTTCATGAGCCGACACCTCAAGTAGCTGCTAAGGACATAGCGGATCCTCTCCATCTCCATTCGATGGATACTGATCTTTAGGTCCCCCTTCTTTGCTCTCCTGAGATTTTCTTCCTATTAAAAGGGAAAATGACGTTTATAAAAAACACTAGAAGCCCAGTGCACAAAATTGCGCATCCCCACCCACCCATGTGTGCCTTGCCATGCATACAGCCTTTTGGAGACCGGTCTTTGGTTGTTATGACCACTGGGTTTTTATTATATAGATAATATTCAAGGACTAAGAACCTTCTTTGTTTGATCTACCCAGAGCCCACAAGGATCATCGTGATTGGCAATGTTGAAGACTCCAACACTACCTTTAGGTCAAAAAAGAACAAAATACTCCTAAGAGTTCTATTTTGTTAATTCCTTAATTATACAAATAATATATGATTTCAGTCTTATCACATAAAGTTCAAACAATACTCACTGACATACCTCAGATATATTGTGGTTTTTGTTTCAGACCACCACAATAAAGTCAGTCATAATATTTTTTTGCTGGGGGGCGGGGGAGGGTCTTGCCTTCAGTTTGTAAAAAAGTCAACATATGTGAAGTGCAATAAAACTAGATGTACCTGGCCTGGCTGGTGTGGCTCAGTGGTTGAGCACTGGCCTATGAATCAAGAGCTCATGGCTGGATTCCTGGTTGGGGCACATGCCCAAGGTGAGGGCTCGATCCCCAGTGGGGGACACACAGGAGGCAGCCAACTGATATTTCTCTCTCATTAATGTTTCTATTTCTCTATCCTCTCTCTTTCTTCCTCTACTCAATAAAAATATATTAAAACACACGTATAAACTAGGTGTACCTGTACTTTTAGAACAGTTAAATAGAATCTGAATATGATTGGTCAGAAGGACCTTCAAGAATTCCAACCCAATAGTAAAGGAGATAATACAGCAGACAGAAGAAATGTCTAAAGGGTAAAAAGTAGGTAAAACATCAATTGAGGAACCATAAACTATCAATGTTTTAAAGCTATTCTGAGGTTGATAATGATTTAAGCCAAGCTCGTCTAAGCAAGAGCCACACTCACATGTCCGCTGGAACAGGCAGGTAAGATATAGGGGAAAGGTGAGCAGTAGGGATTATGGGGCACTGAGGCTTCCCTGAAAGGGGGAGGCCCTTACCTTGCTTTGGTCAGGTGTTCTCGTATAAAAACATGGGGCTGGCGATGATAGGTTTTTAGACTTTTCATGGGAAGCTGATATTCAGATATTCACAGGTACTTTCACGCTTTGTAAATGTAGATAACTAATTCAATACTTAAGAAACAAACTATAGGCTGGGCCACACAAAGCAGATTTGTTATCATACCTCTCACTATACTGACAAACTCTTTTAAGATTCTCTTCCTTTATGACCCTGGGATAAGAGGCTCTTACCATGTGGTCTAGCTGCTCCATGACACATTCTACAATTTCAGGCTTGCTTTCCAGAAGGTCAGGGGCAAACTTTTCATTCATCCAAGCCTAAAAAACAACAATAACAAAAAAATTACATACACACCGCTCATAATGGAGCTATCAACCCTGTAAGTCAGTACATTCCCCCATGAAAATCACAGCTGTCTCAGGTAAAGAAAATTGCCTACCAGTTGGAAATACTGGAAATGTGTTGAAGGCAAACTGTTTAATAACAGTTTTTCCATTTCTTTTAGTAAGAAATTGGGTTTGCAACCTTATATTTAACCATCATTACAAAAAAAAAAAAAAATTACTGTTCACTTAAAAAATGTTGCCAATAAACGTGTTGCTGAGAGTAACACCACCTGGTGTTCAAACAGTACCTTTCACCAAGTAGCATCAACACATTTCCTTCACCTGCAATTTCCACCAGGGGGCACTAGCACTATCTATTTGGGGAGATGCAATAATGCTAATAAATCTATACATCTCTTCATTCCTAAAGCTCAAAGCACTTTGCAAATAGTTTTTATTCATCATAATATCTGAGAGGAAATAAACATAGTTATCCTCATCTTATTGATGAGAAAACACAGAATGTTATTTACTAATGTCCAAGAATATAAAGAATAGCAATAGAAGTGGATATTCTATTAAATAGCTTTGGAACAGAGTTTAAACCCCTAATTTATGACTCAGGCACAGATGTTGGTGCATTTTAGAAATTGCCAGGGCTTAGAAAATGAAAATTCCCACAGGTGATTGAGGAAATGTACTTATCTTTCAGTTACAGGAAATTTAGTTTTAGCACAGCTCAGAATTACATGCCAATTAGGCTCTATCTATTTCTTTTGACATCATTGAGACTCTGCTTCTCCAATTATTACCATCAAAACACATTCTCAAGTTCTGGGTATGGCTACTATCACAAATTTTTTCAGGTGCTCAAGCTTCTGTACTAGTGTTGCAGAAGTTACCCAGAAAGACAAGAAATTCTATCTTTCTTTCTTTTTTCTTTTTTTTTAAATATATTTTATTGATTTTTCACAGAGAGGAAGAGAAAGGGATAGAGAGTTAGAAACATCGATGAGAGAGAATCATCGATCAGCTGCTTCTTGCACACCCCACACTGGGGATGTGCCTGCAACCAAGGTACATGCCCTTGTCCGGAATCAAACCTGGGACCTTTCAGTCTGCAGGCCGACGCTCTATCCACTGAGCCAAACCGGTCCCGGCTCTATCTTTCTTTTGAGAGCCAATTTTTTAAAACTTCTTTTAACGCCACTTCTTCAAAATAGACTTATCCAGGCCATGGTATTTTGTGGAAGAGCCACACTCAAGGGGCCAAAGAGCCGCATGTGGCTCGCGAGCTGCAGTTTGCCAACCACGACTCTAGGGTATATACCACGGAGTAGAATAATTGGGCCAAAAGATCTGTGGGCTTTCAACTTGGCAATAACAAATTATTTTCCAAAATGACGGCATCAATTTATATGCTCTCCGCAGTATATAAGTACACTTCCCAATATTTTATATTGTTCATTTTTTTCATTTCTGCCAATCTGATGGGTATGAAGTGATATTTCATTGGGATTTAAATTTTAATTTTTCTGACCACTAAAAAGGTTGATCATCTTTTTATATGACTGTCGGCCATCCTGCTTTCTGCTTCTGGGAGATGCCTGTTAAGACTTCTTTTTTCTATAGGCCAGTTTGTAAAGTCTGTTTATGTACTGTGGATACTAATCTTTTGTCAGTTATATATGTTGCAAATATTTTCTCCCAGTTTTTGTGGCATGTCTTTTTACTTTCAAGGTGTAAAAACAAGAGTTCTTAACTTTAATATAGTTGAATATGTCTGTTTTTCCCCCTTATATCTTGTGTTTTTTATTCAATGGATCCTTTCCTAATTAAATCAGGGGCTCTTAAACTGGGGTCCACAAACTAGAAGAGCAGATTTCAGGGTGTCTGTGAACCTCCTGAAATCATAAGCCAAATTTTGCATGGATATATAGATCTATTATTTTGGGAAGAAGGGCCAGATTTTTAAAAAAGTCTGTGATATAAAAACAAATTAAGAATCACTACTATATAGTAAGAATTAGGATAGAAGATAATTTTAAAATTATGATGGAATATATGGTAGGAAAGAATGAATATAGGTACTAAAGTAACAAACATGAGTGGGTTCTGCAAAGGGAGTAGGCAAGAATAAGGCAACAGGCCGTAGCCGATTTGGCTCAATGGATAGAGCATCAGGCTGTGGACTGTAAAGGTCCCGGGTTCGATTCCGGTCAAGAGCATGTACCTTGGTTGCGGGCACATCCCCAGTAGGGGTTGTGCAAGAGGCAGCTGATCGATGATTCTTTCTCATAGATGTTTCTAACTCTCTATCCCTCTCACTTCCTTTCTGTAAAAAATCAATAAAATATATAAAAAAAAAAAGAAAGAAAGAAAAAAAAAAAAAAGAATAAGGCAACAGGTGTGGTGGATTAAGAACGTACGTTTTGGCCCCAGCTGGTTTGACGCAGTGGATAGGGTCAACCTTCAGACTGAGGGGCCCAGGGTTCGATTCCAGTCACAAGGGCACAAACCAAGATTGTGGGCTCAATCCTCAGTAGGGGGCGTGAAGACAATCAATTATTTTCTCTCATCATGAATGTTTCTATCTCTTTCTCCTTCTCCCTTCCTTTCTGAAGAATATAAGGTTGCAAACCCAATTTCCTACTAAAAGAAGAACATACATTTTGTAGTCAGAGACCTGGTTTATTTCCTGCTGCCTTTGTGTGGCCTTGGGTAAATTCCTTTACATCTCTAAGCTTCAGTTTCCTCATCTGTAAAATGGAGATAACAGCAATACCTCCTTTAGTGGGTTGTAAGAATTATTACTACTCACAGCTAACATTCAACGAGAGCTTATCATGTGTCAGATAATATAATAGGCTAAGCACCTTATATATGTACTATCTCATTTAATCCCACAGCAATTCTGTGAGGTAGCTACTATTATTAATTCTACTGTACAAAGAAGTGCTTCAGACAAGCTATGTAATTTGCCTAAGGTCACATAATAGACTAGAGGCATGGAGGAATTTAAATACAGGTAGTCTGAACACCATAGCTTCACAAGATAGTAATTGTAAATAACAGTTACTAGCACACAGAAAACAATCAAACCATAGCTATTATGACTGAATGGAGAGATAGACTGTAAATGATTTTAGATAAGAAGTGGAATATAGAGAACAATGGAAAAAATAAAGTATATGAGAGGAAAAGGGTGAATAATAATAATACCAGGTTTCTCTCTC